GCACCCCTGACGCTGCCGTGCCTCCCCCCTCCTCTCCCCCAGAGGAAGAGGTCACCGTGGGCAAGTTCTACGCCACCTTCCTGATCCAGGACTATTTCCGCAAATTCCGGCGGCGGAAGGAGCGGGGGATGCTGGGCCCCAACGCTGGCCCCAGCAACGAGTGTGCGCTCCAGGTGTGGGGGGCACCCCCCTGGGGGTGGGGCTGTGGGGAGGGGTGGGGGGGGCCGCCGTGCCACCCCCCCCCTCCCCAGGCCGGGCTGCAGACGCTGCAGGCGCTGGGCCCTGAGATGCGGCGGGCGCTGAGCTGCGACCTCGAGGGCGACGACGACGAGGGACCGGCCGCCACCGAGGAGGAGCAGCTGACCTACGCCGTAAGCCCCGCCCCTCGCCTCCGGGCCACGCCCACCGACCCCACCCTTGCCTCGGTGGCCACGCCCGCCGAGACGAAGCTCCGCCCCTCTGCCCGCAGGCTCCCGAGACCCTGTACGGCTCCGGCCCCAGCCCCCCCCTCCTGGGGGAGCCCCCCCCGGCCGGCAGCCCGGCCCCCACCGAGGGGGAGGACCCCGCGCCCCTTCCCCACATCGTCCCCAGTCGCCTCGGCAGCAGGTAGGGGCACCGGTGGGGCGGAGGGACCTTGGGGGTCCCCGCGGGGAAGGGAGAGGGGGGGGTCCCTGGGGGGGCAACAGGGGTCCTGACGGCCCTGTGTGGCAGGCGGCGCTCGGAGGCGGGGGGCCAGGAAGAGCCAGGCCCCCCCGAGGACGGGGAAGAGCCGCGGGGGGAGCCGGGCGACATCAGCCACGAAGAGGACCCGGAGGGCTCGGCCCCCCGCCACCGGTGGGGCGGGGACAGGTATCGCCACACCCGTGGCCGCCGTAACACCTGGGGGACACCCCCCCCGCCCCGCTCCCCAACCCTTGGGGAGGGGGGTCCCTATAACCTGGGGAAATGCCCCCAAACTCCTCCTGTCCCCGTCCCCAGACCGCTGGGGACCGTTCCCGCCCCCCTGCCCCCGCGCTGGGCGGGAGAGGGGCCGCGGGGGGGGTCGCTGCCGCTGCCCTCCCGGCGCTTCGCCCTCCACAACGGGACCCTCGAAGGGCAGCAGCTCAAGCGGCGCCGGCTCCTGCCTCCCACCCCCGCAGGTAAGGGCGGGGCCTGCGGGAGGGGGGCGGGGCTTACGGCGAGGGGGCGGGGCCTCCGTCGAGACACCCCGCCCCCTTCCCCAGGCCGGAAGCCCTCCTTCACCATCCAGTGCCTGCGGCGCCAGGGCAGCTGCGAGGACGAGCCCATCCCGGGCACCTACAACCCCTCGGGCCCCCCCGGCCCCGCGCGGCCCCAGGTACCACCACGCGTGACACACACACGCGTGTCACACACAGACACGCACAGAGCACTGACCTCCTCCTCCTCCTCTCCCCGCCAGGGCTACGGCAGCTCCGAGACTTGGCGCCTGGGGGGCTCCTCGCACGCCTGGGCCACGGCCCCCACCCGCGGCCACGTCCTCTACGCGCCCCTCATCCTGGTGGAGGGAGGACCGGCGCCGGGGGTGTCGGCGGGAGGAGGCGGGGGGAGCCTCCCCCCGCTCTCACGCTGGTTCGTGGGGGACCACGGTCCCCCCGGCCCCCTCCGCCTGCGACCCTGCGGACCTCGGGACAGGCTGGGCCGCGGCTCCGCGGACAGCCTGGTGGAAGCCGTGAGTGCGGGGCGGGACCCGGCGGGGGGGACGACGACGGACGGGAACGG